AGAAGATAATCGACTGGTTGATTTGGAGCTTGGAGAAGAGGGTGTTCAAGCAGTGGACCTTCTGCTTCTCTTCAACAAAGGCGTAGTATTGAGTGATACCCCTTAGAGTGAGCTCGTCCATCAGGTTGATCTCATAGGGGCTGACCATGTTCTTATCGGAAAAGTCCTTGACGGACAGAGGGAATGTGGCTGAGAAAAGCATGACTTGTCGGTCCTTGGGGTGAAATTGCAGAAGCTGTTCGATGACGGGAGTGAACTCGATGGATAGAAGCTTATCGGCTTCATCCATGATGAACATGGGGCATTCGCTAAGGTCGGCAACATTCTTGCCAGCGAGATCGAGAATTCGGCCTGGGGTACCTACCACAATATGGACGGGATCCTGCAGACGAATAATGTCATCTCGAAGACCGGTACCACCAGTCGTAACCATAACATTAATGCCGAGGTGCTTGCCGAGGGTCTTGCAGACTTGTGAGGTCTGCATGGCAAGCTCACGTGTGGGGACAAGGATAAGACATTGAATCTTGGAAACCTTGGGGTTGATGCGTTCCAAGGTAGGGATGACAAAGGCAGCTGTCTTGCCAGTGCCGTTCTTTGCTCGTGCAAGAATATCTCGGCCAGTTAATGCGACGGGTATAGCTTCCTCTTGAATTGGTGAAGGTTTCTCAAATCCTGCTTCAAAAATTCCCATAAGTAGATCTCGCTTGAGGGCAAAGTTCTCGAACTCGAGGCCCTTTGTGTTTGTAACATCCTGGGGACAAAGGTCAGCCTCTGGGCGTGCGCTAAGAAAAACATGATTGCAGCATGTACCTCTGTTTGTTGTCGGTTATCCTTTGCGGGGAGGTTCAGGTTCTTCTTCCACTCGTCACTCGCGGCGGGAGCACCGTCACTGCTCGAGTTAGTCCAAGCTCACAAGGGCCGCTAGGGCGGCGCAGCGGACCTGAGTTGGGTGGATTTCAGCTTGTCTGCTAGCTGATCCGCCATTGCGTGTATAGGATCCGTCTACGGATCGAAAGAAAGTAAAGGGTGAGGTATTATATGCAAAACAGCACAGAGATCGGCCTCTCGTGGGTTCGGGGCGCGGGAGGGGGCAGCAGGTGAGGAGCTGCAAGGCGTTGTTGGTTTGTGTGGAGAGAGAGTCGGAAGAAAATCGGTGCGCGAACTATCTGAGAAAGAAGACTCAGGGATGAAAGTGCTTTAGTTAGTTGAAAGCACGAAGTCGATATCGTGTGGAGAGGTTTCTTGTCGTCGTGGGGTGTTTAAAGGTGTGATTCGGTTCTTGGTGGAGGGAAGAAATAGAGTAGAGTAGGCTCAGTCTTGGAGTTTGAAGGTGAAGGTGACGATGGTGTGTGCCTCTGCGGTGGAAGGCCCTGCGCTTTTAGGTCACGTGTTGGCGGGGCAGCCCGGTTTTTATCGTTTGCTGAGATGGACGCGAAGGAGCTTTTGCTAATGTGATCTAGTCTATTGTTTTCTGGAATTTACCAAGTGTTTGCTTGTAGTTGAGCGACTCTCGGTGGGAGATTCCGAGGCTTTTGTTGTGATGAAAATGACACAAAAGATGAAAATCAACAGAGTTTCAATGAGGACGCATGATACCTCCAGCTCTAAGCAGGGGCCAGCTCTTACGATCTAACAAGCGAGGTACACCTTGTCACTGCAGTATGGGGTTAAGTTCTTCAATTGACAGAGAACAGTCCATCTCTGCCTATGTTTTGGGAGAATATGTACCTCTGAAGGTCAAGCTTTCTTTGTTCATACTATCAATTCACATTCTAGCCCAGGTAAGATAGAAGATAGCGTTACTGTTACTCCATGCTAGGCATGCTACCTATCACGATCCTCCCAATCACATGAAACAATGCCTTGACCAATAACCGCAGGAGGGATCACCAATTCACGCAAGCCATTCGTTCATCATTTATCATGGAATCTGTAACAACTGGTATTCATTCTTCGCTCTACTCGGCCTCACATCTAGACCAAGGCCATAGTCAAATAAGTAACTCCAAGGTGGTGCAATATATATACAAAAGAAATCTCTACTCCGGCTTTTACAGCTTCATACCCACAGCCTTTGCAACTCTCAGACTCTGCCTCATGCTAAGATCAAGCATAATCTCTTCACTGCCACCGGGAATGGCATATGCTCGCACATCACGGTACAGTCGCTCGACCTTGGCACCCTGGCCTCCTCGAGAGTAACTCAAGCCACCGAAGATCTGACTGGCTTCTCGAGCACAGAACTCGAATGTGAGGGTAGACTGGGCCTTGAGACCAGCAATAGGACCACCGAGTCGAAGCATAGCCTCTGTCTCACCCATGCGCTCGCACTGGTAGATGAGGTTCTCGAGCCAGTTATATGAGGCCTCGATTTGGCGAGCCATGTGAGCAAGCTTCATGCGGATAACAGGGTGGTCGATGAGCTTCTTGCCGAATGTGCGTCGCTTGCTACCGTACTTGACGGACTCTTCGTAGCAGACACGAGAGAATCGGAGAGATTGGATGATAATACCCATACGCTCGTGGTTGAAGTTGGTCATGATGACCTTGAAACCCTGGTTCTGCTTGCCGAGCAAGTTCTCAACGGGAACCTTGACATCCTCAAAGGTGATGTACGTTGTTCCTGAAGAAAGGACACCCTGGCAAGGCATACGTCGAGTGGAAACACCCTCGCCACGCTCGATGAGGAGCAGAGACACACCGTTCATACCAGCCTCGCCAGTTCGTACAGCAACGGTGAAGTAGTCGGCCCAGATACCGTTGGTAATCCACTTCTTCTCACCGTTGACGATGTAGTGCTTACCATCCTCGCTCAGCTTAGCCTCGCAGGTCAGGTTGGCGACATCACTACCAGCATCAGGCTCAGTGATAGCCAAGCAAATGCGCTTCTCGCCACTGAGGATGCCAGGCATGATACGGTCCTTGAGCTCTTTCTTACCGAACTTCATAAGAGGCGGGCAGCCAATACCGAAACCACCAATAATGTTCCAGACGAAACCACCAGAGCCAGTGCGGGACAGCTCGTCGGTGATGATCATCTCGTGGAAGAGATCCCACTGCTCAGGAGAGACAGACTTGATACCTTGAGGGACATATTGGGTTGGGTACTTGACGCCGAGAAGACCAGCGAGGTAACCGCGACGACCCATCTCCTTGTAGATCTCCTCGGGGACCTCCTTGGCCTCGTCCCAGTCGGTGACATACGGCTCGATATCTTTCTCAACCCATTCGCGGATCTCGGCGCGGAGTGCAGCATGAGATTCGTTGAAGTATGGTGAGTGGTACTAACACGTGTAAGCAAGGAGCTGACGGGCAAGGCAGGGGTTGAACATACGCTTTGGTACCAAGCAGGGTCAGCAAAAGGAATCTGGTCACCGAAAGGCTCAAGAGCCTCGGCGTCTTCCTCTTTGGCAGCAACCTCCTTCTGTGTAGTCTTCACGGCCTTAGGTGTAGGAGCCGCGGGCACCGGAGCGGCATTGGCCTCAGGCTTCGGCTCGGGGGCCGCGGGTTTGGAGTCTAGGGATCCGACCTGAAGTTGCTGCTTGTACTTCTTGAGGATGCCCTCGTTGTGGTACTTCCAGAATTGCTTGGAAGCGTCCTTGCCACCGACGCGCTGGAGGATCTTCTTACCACCTATTGCGCGTTAGATGTGAGTTTCGAGGAGGGTGTTGTGATTGACCTACCTGGGTGGTCGTCTTGGAATTTTGTCAAATCGTAAACATCGCCATCGACAATGATGTACAAGTCGCCGGGCTTGTTATGCGACGCAACGTCGCTTGTGGTAAAGACTTTAGACATGTTGACTTTGTTTTGCTGATGGAATGGAAAAAGGATGATAAAAACTACCAAGGTTATATATCACAGAGTCAAAGAAAAGGCCAGTACAACAATATGGGAGAAAAAGAAAGAGGAAGAAGGGATCATAAGCCTTTCATAGAACCTTTTTTAAAACATGCTTCGGCAAAATCATAGGTAGCATTACAATCACATGTTGGTGCTTCAGCTCCACCCCCATATTCGATCATCTTTTTCTGGGGGAAACTTGTCGCTTCAGGTCATGAGTCGTCTCATTCACGGCATTACTCGATGCGGTCATGGTAGAGAATAAAGGTCATGTGCCTACGCCTCGCTCTATTCATTTTACATGTGAAAGAGCCGCAGTAAACGACAATTGCTCTACTGCTAAACTCTAGCGCATGCATTGATGTCATGATGGAGGATGCCGAGGCTTCTATGCGCTGTCCAATCGGAGGTCGAGCATTGCCAAATATGGCGTCCGAGGTAAATGCTCACGACTCGCCAACTTTACAAGGGCAAAACCCCCACGGGGAACGGAGAAACCATCTGAAAAGAGTATGCGGAGAAGACCCTTTGTTGCATTTCACTTGCATGTGTTGCAAATTCGTCTTGTTTGGCTGGTTGGGTCTAAAGTCCGAATATGACCCCAGTAGCGTCTTGGTTCGGTGATATATCTACATCAGATCACCATCTGCCATCTGAGAATGCAACGAGTCTCCGAACTTGACAAACTATCCAAACAACTGAGGCTATTTGCTAGAGATATTCGACTAACATTCATGTTAGCCCTGTGACGCTCAATCTGTATAATTATGTTCACAATCCATTTGACCAATCTTTTTGAAGCTTACTACTGTCTTACAACTTATTCATCTGTTTATGCGTTCTAGGGAGGTCAGAAAACTCAAGACCTCGATCCTTAAGTAACAAAAATACTTGGGTTGGTTAAGGATAAACTAAGAATTCTTTTGACTCCTCTGCCTCAGTACTTGCTCTTGAGGCCGTTCAATACACAGGCTCTAGATTATCTCTATAAAAACCCATCGCAGTGCTGTCAATGCCACCGGATAAAGCTTTCAGGTGGTATATACCACTCCACAACGCCAAAAACTCCGTTCCCGATTCCAGCACGTAGCTAAACCTTTTCCATACCCTTCAAGACATCAGATCCTTGTCTCACTGCAATGTCATGTATCCTTTCACTTGGTACCTCGAGGCTTCGCTTTGGAAGCAGCCTTGTCCTTCTTCTCCTGCTTGGCCTTCTTTCGCTTCTCTTCGTTCTTCTCATCCAGCTTTCGCTTATGTGCTGCTTTCTCAGCATCTGTCTTGGGAAGAGGCTTGAAGAAACCCTCTAGTCGAGCTTGTTGAGAGCTCTTGAGGTTCTTCTCCAACCGGGCACCTCCACTGCGAACACGATCCTCTGAGAACCCCTTCTCTGTGACGAGGAACTGAACAAGGCCTTCCATGTCGGGCTTCTCCCACTTGAAATCGCAGTCAGGGTGGTCGGCTTGTCGCACATCGGGCTCGAAAAATAGATCCCGAGCATCCTTGTAGGGCCAGTCCTCTGGAATAGTATACTTCTTCTTGGCATCCTTCTCAATCGCCTCGACAACCTTCTCCAATGAGCCATGCTCACGAATCAGCTTTAGGGCAGTGCTGGGGCCGATCTTGGGAATTGGGTCAAGGTAATCACAGCCGAGCAGGATACAAAGATCCACGAACTACACCAGGTTAGACCAATGTATCAACCAATATGCGCGTTACAACATACCTGCTTCCTCTCCATGTTCAGGCCTTCGAGGACCCTCTCGAGGTGGATCTCCTGAATAGGTTCCTTTCGTTGTTCGCTGAAGGTAAGATGACGCAGCAGAATGGGTGCATTGAAGCAAAGTGTGTCCATATCTTCACTGGCGGCCGCATACACCTTGCCAGCCTGGGCCAAGACAGCACACTGGGCCTCGGCCTCAGTAGGTGCAATGATGTAAGGAATTCCCATGAGCTTGAGTAGACGCTGGCACTCAGCATTGTGCTCTCGGGTGACACGAACAGTTCGTCGTGAGAACTTCTCAATATCTTCTGCTGTACCGGTCTCCTTAGCCTCCTCGAGGCCTTCGGTAGCTTCCTGCTTGCGCTGGAAACGCTTGGCCAACTCGCCAGACTTAAGCTTAGGCGGTGCACCATCGAACACGTAGAGGGGTTTAATGCCGTTGTCGACCATGCGTAGAGTACGGTAGAACATGCCCATGAGATGCGATGTTGTCTCGCCGCTCTCGTTCATGAGCTGCTGGCCTTCGGATCGTACGGCGATGAGGAAACTGTAGATACTCATTGAAGCATCCTAATATCATAAGTAATTACCCTTCGTGTTGGATTTTCGTACTCAACTTACAATGGCGACCTTGCGGCCGAACTGGTTCTTGATCTCACCCTCCTTGATCGAATCTGGAGCTTCCTCCTTGATGATCTGGAAGAGTTGCTTAATACCCATCTTTGCGGTTGTTCTCTTTTATGCCGGGGTAAGCTGTAGAAATAAGAGTCGAAATGAAGTTGAGATCCAAGTGACAAGAAAAAAGAGAGAAGACTTGATTAATGGAGAAAAAAAGAGATGGAGGCGCAAACGAAACGTGAAAGAGGAAGGGACTTTACGCGTGTGGGACGTCATGACGCGCCTGTCGCGACGGGAACCACAGGGATCTTAATTGACCCCACAACATAATCGAACTAAAGCTTCAGAGCTGCCTGGAGCTCTAGCATTATGTAATGGAGGAACAAAGAGATTCTATAATGTGACATTCATGTTGCATGAGAGACAAAGTTATTTTTCTTAAATGATATTAGGGTTTGATTCATCCGATGTTCCTAGTTAAATGAAGGTACTTCCCAGGTGTCACAACTACAGCCATGTATGGCAGGCTGACACTCTGTCTTTCATAGCATCATACTACTTGAGACTACCCTTCCCTATACTACAACAAATAATAGATCGGGGGGCAGAGATAAATGTATCAACGTTCAAATGCCCAGCTCAGGTCACTGCACCCCCCACTAACCTCAAAAGTCCTGCATTGTCCTCAAGGCAAGCCTCAAGTACTCCGAAGAACCCATCAGTCAGCAGATAACAGAATGCATCCTGAAAGCCAGAATAGTGCTCAAGGCACTAAACCTCTTCCAACCCTCCCCTGAAACGTCGACCAAGCACATAAGTACTTTTCTTTCAATATACCGCTCGGAATACAGAGCAGTCAAGGATGGGTCTCTCCTTGCGCTCCACCTTGCCGTGCGGAACATGTCACATAGAAAAGGGATCTTGACTTCACAAGGTCACAACATGTCAAGCTTGTGTTATGAGAAATGAGCGAAGGGGCACTTCGTATGTCGTGGGGTATCGTACAAGTCGTCCCCGGCATCTTCATTATATCGTTCTCGACATCTACTCGCTCTGGTCAGTTCCTCAATCTCAATTATACATCCATGAGACAGCCTCATGTCCTTCTTTGGCCATCCATGCTGTCAAGTGTCTTGTCGATCTCCATGATATCCAACATCTCAAACTCCACATTTCGTCTCGTAAAGTCTTGCGTATCGTCTGCTGCCGCTTCAAGCGTGTCCATAAAGTCAAAGCCAACCGTCGGGCGCGGTGACTGCAGAGTAGTGTCTGCGCCTTCATCGTAGTTTCCAGAGGCAGATCGAAGTCGCAATGTACCCGGCTTGACAGTGCTCAGGTTGAATAAAGACTTGGCTGGTCGGTTTTCCCTACCGTGCACGATGATAGCGTCTGACTTGTCTCCCTTTGAAAACAGGCGTCGTCTTCGTGAGTTGGCCGCAGCACCCACAATCTTGCCGGGTCCGTCCTCTCCTTCTCGAACGACAACAATCCTGGACTCGCCGAGAACAATAACATCGGCAGGAAGGCCACCATCGTGGGCAATAGTATTGTGATCAGGCTCTATCAACAGACCAACCCCGCAACATCTCTCGCCCAGCAGACCAGTTGCCAAAGCCAGGAGCTTGATCATCTTTACCGGTTGCGCTCCGCTGAAAATGTCTCCACCTGTTCCGGCAGCTCTTCGAAGCTGGGAATCCCAGAAGCGTGTGATCCCAGGGACGACGCATACATGTTCAAGGCCACCAACCCACAGAACCACTGTCTCATCTTGAATGGCACTACCACTTGATGGCAGAGACAACACTTTGATGCCACCTCGGATAGTAGCCAGGCGGTCAAGTGTGATAGCAGAGCTCAGGGATGCAGTAGCCTGTCGTCGAGTGTGAGGGGTCATAGGGGCGAAGTCTCCAGTGCTGTGCTCCTTGTTCTGGGTTGTCACACTCCTAAGTGAGCTTGTTCCCTCCACATAGCCAGAAACGCTGAAGGTCGTCAAGGCGGCTCCCTTCACTCCAGGCTGGAGTTTATTTGAGAGTACAGCGCCTGGTGCAGTAGGACTGGCGCCATCAACATCCCAGATACCCCACATGCCATCGGCAAGGAGGACTAATATGGCGCGGCCGTGTGCTATCCAAGCAGCGTCGATGATTGGTTTCCTTGTCGACGAGGGGCGAGAAAAGGGCTGATACATTGAGAGAAGCCATGAGCCCTGGACTGGGAAAGGCCCAGTGGCATCTGTGTCGGTGAAAGAAGGTCGTGCAAAGTCGTAGATCCGGACGCCCTGCAACGCTGAGACAACAAGCAGCTGTGTTGTATGTGTAGAGTTGAACGATATGCTTGTCAGGGGGTTAGGTAAATACTCGGTTTGGAAAGGCTCAACAGCTTTGGCGGGCTTATCACTGGCATCCAGTGGTACATCCCATAACCGGAGCACGCCAGAAGCCTCTCTGCAGTGCGAGGCAATAACGGCCCTGGATTTTGTACTAGGTCGCTCTGTAGCAGTGGGCATGATGAGGTTGATTGCAATACCCTCGCTGTGTCTGTTCTGGCCACCGAGCAGTATGAGTGACTCGCCCCAAGCTCCGGATCCAGCCTTGCCTGCCAGAAGATCGCTCCTGAGCTCTGGCCTTGCCTTGCTCTCTGGCGACGGAGGAGTAAGAGGAAGTGTAATGACGTAGATGTCGTTGGTCACGCAAGACACAGCAAATACCATCTTTTCCGTCAGGACTTTAGCACCTCCCCATGCAGCATCATCTGCTGGTGTCGGGGTCATAGGCATGACCGCAACCTTCAGGACCGCTGTTCCAAGCGCCAGGTCCAGAGTTTGGACGATCTCCGGAAAGGGAGTATCCTCGATCTCATCTTCAAACTGGGGTTTGTCCTCATGGTGAGATGCTGTCTTGGATTTGGTTGGTGGTTCGTCATCGTCCGAGTCGATGATCATAATCGAGTCGTCTGCGGTTCCATTCTGCTTTTCAGGTTGAGGCGGGGACTTCTTCGCAGCCTTGAATCGCTTGCCTCCTCGCCATGCGATCGTCACACCGTTTTCGTGACCGTATATGAGGATGGTCGCTCCTTGTGGAGAGTAAACAGGATAGGTTTGAACATCGTTCACCCGTCGCGAAAGGTTATATCTGGAAGAATGAGAAAGTGTTCTTTGGGCCGAATGTCGGTCGAAGAAGAGGTTCACTTACGTGAATTGTGTGTTTTGCGCCGTGCGACGCATTCGAGGAGCTGGGATAGAGCTCATGTTGAGTTTGAGCTCGGGCAGCAAACCCTGTAAGAACCTATCTGTGTTCTTTTTTATAGAGTTATGGTTCAGAATTCGAGGAGTTGCGTCGGTGCTCGTTGTGTATGCGATATGTGCGAATTGTTTTTGTTTGTGTTCGCTGTTGGTTGATGCTTGCAGGCTGGAAACTTTTCCAACGCGACAAGCACCGCGCCAAGCTAGAGCTTCGATAGTCACGTGGTAGCTTCTCTGAGCATATTTGCTGCTACCCTGAACGAAATTGGTGGCCTTCAAGTTAATACTCAGATTGTCACCTTCGGGCAGTTCTATTGTTTGTGTTTTCAGCATTGAATTGAATGTTTAATCCGATGTGAATATAGTTTCTGGTGGTATGTTCTTTGTGATTGTGCCTTGGTCTCTCACCCCTAATTCGCTTGCCTATGAGCTCCCCTAAGTGAAACAAAGAGAGGTTTCGTAGATCAAAGATAACACAACAGGACGCTTAACATTACAAGGCAATGTCGCCTGTAATACAAATAAAAAGTCCTGCGAGATTCCAAGGATTCGTAATCCCTTACCCAATTACCTGCAACAGTTCAGATCGGGCACCAGAACCAAGCCCAATTAAAGGGGCTTCACTGTGAGTGCATGTATCGTATCGTCACGACGAAATCATCTACAAGTGTGATACTTAGGACAAGAATTATCTTCCCATTTACGCCGAGTTGGGGGCTTGTGCCAATACAAAATTTCATTCACCATTATCACATAATATTCACAGACACATAATGCCAACGAGCTTGCGCTGGGTATATGCATAAACCTAAAACAACACCTTACCCAAGTAGCGATATCAAGCAAAAGACTCAGTCAATGAACCAGCATCTCAAGTCCTAAGTGGTGGTATATGACTATGCACAACCCTACATACAGACGACACCATGACCACCACCATCATCGGTCAATGATACGGAAAAGACAACGGCCAAGTGAAAAAGTAAATAAAGCGACGATAGGATATCCCGCACTATCTGCCAACCCCCCAATCGTGATATCTCCTCCACGAGGTTGGCATATCTCCCGCGTCCCATTGTATCTATGTGACACCTCGCTCCATCGCACCCTGCCCAATATCCCAAGAGGACTACTCGTCCCCTTATTTTTAGATTTAACCCTGCCCTACTCAACAAATAGCGGGATAATTTGTACACAGGAGACACAGGACTCCTAGTCATGAAGAAAAGAAAACAGACGTGCCGATTACACGCGGGTATGATTGCCGCTCGAAATGCCCTTGCGCGAAGACGACATCCATAGTGAAATGGATCCAGGGAAAGATGGCATCTAAAAAGGGCACTTGCGGCATTATTTCCATCTTCTCCAGTCGTTTCGATCAAGGCATAGTTGTGAAAATGGGGGTAATGAGTGGATGGCGTAGGTGTAGCCGGCGTGCCATGGAGCGTGATTGATCAAATCCAGTCGTAATTCCGCAGACGCAAATAGTAGAAGAAATGTCTAGTCCTACGCCCAGAAAAGAGTCAAACGCCGCCAGATCGTCGGGGGTGATCGATTGGCAAATAGACATAAGCTGTCATCCCGAAAACGCCGTAAATGCCGATTGTGAAATAATGATTGAGAAGTAGTTGGTTTTGAAGATTCCAGACTGGACACTCGCTTATGCGTTGGTGACCTGAAGACGGATTAGTAAACAGATGTTTTGACAGTAAACCCATCCCGTCAACTTACCCGTAAAATTCTTCGAGAGTAATCTTGGTTATCAGCGATGCTGCCGTCGCTGAGTCGTCGGTGAGCCATAACTGGATCAAGACGAGAATCGGTCATAGAGATGCTACCACTGCTGCCGGGAGGCTTGGAACCGTTTATAAAAGCGTTCACGGCGGCGTTTCGACGATGCTCCTCCTCTATCTCAGCGTTGCGTCGGCGACGGACGAAGAAAATGGCTCCACCTCCAATGGCGGCAATCACCACCACACCAACAACAACTCCAGCGGCGATGGCACCCACGTTGGGGCCATCTTTCTTGGTGTCAGAAGAGGCTTCTGAAGTAGTCGCGGCGTCTTGGGTTTGTGTTGCAGCAGAAGTTTCATCAGCCGCAGTGCTCTCAGCAGCCTTGGTGGATGAAGGGGCAGCACTTGTTGTCGACTTCTCGGGCACGTAGTTGTCGGGGGCCAGTTCCACGCCTGTGTTGAAAACTGAGTAGTAGGTTTTCAAAGCGCCACAAGCCTCGTAAGGGTAACCAGGGCATGGCCAGTTGCATTTGTCGTCGTCCACTAGATCACCTTCTTCGGGGTAAACCATACCACAATAGCACTTGGAACCCTGCAAAGCAAACACCAGATAGTTCTTTTTGCAAAGATTGAAACACTTTCCACTCGTCACTGTCGGTGCAGACAATTCCACTGTCATGTTTCCAACGGACTTCCAGCAGCCCTGAGAAGTTTGTTCGTTCAGGACGGGCTCCTTGGTGGGCAACTGCTCACCCTTCTTCTGTCCGTTAACGCCGATAAAGCCAGCAGCCGCAATGGCCAGTGTCATGAGTGTTGAGGTTTTCATGATGATTGATTGTGTGTATCCGGGGTCGAGCGAATGTGTAGAAGAGAAGTCGAATTAGTATATGCTAATTGTCGAGAAGGACCTCGAATCAGATCAACTGGAATCGAGATGAGTCGGATCCAATGGTCGGGGTTTCGTCTGGCGATATTCCTTGTCGACTGCGGAACACCTTGTAACAATTCCGTCAATTTGTAGGTTGAGACTACTTGTGGTTGTCGTCGATGGTAGAGGCGACAATATGTACACCTTGCTAAATGCGAGCCGCTTCACTGAAGAAAGGAGATGGTCTGATCCAGCTGTCCTGTCGAGTGGTGATGAGCTGACGGTGATCAAGGAGTTGCAGTTATCGATCGTGTCTCGTGGGTAAGTAGACGCGAGGCGAGGCAGTTGAACAAGGAAGATCAAGATGCCGGAAAGAAGAAAACGATTTGAAGCTGGAAAAGAGACGCTACTCGTGTTGGTGACCACGATAAAAACGCTTCAGAGATGAAGAAAGGAACAACGCTCTGAAAGTGTGGGGAGAGATGAAAGAGGGACTGGAACGAACGAGCGGCCGGAGGTAATGGCTTGTTTTGTTGAAAGAGGAGATGGGAGTGAGATGAGCAGGAGAGGAAAGGTAGCGAAGCGAAGCGAGTCAGAGGGGAGCGGGAAAGGGAAAGGGAAAGGGAAAGGGACAAGACGCTCAGCGAAGGGGAGATCCAGAGCCAAAAGCCAAGCAAGGCCAGGGCCTGAACGGCACCAGCCAGTAACTGCACGAGATGGCGAGACAAAGGACCAGGGGGTGCAGGGGCACTTGCCATTTAGTGGGGTCTTCGTCAGGGATTTAGCAGGGATTTGGCCACCATTTTGGGATCATCTTTTGGTCGCTGGTGGATAAGCCAAGAATGTCTGGTTTCTCCTTTTGCACAAATCATGCATAGCATAAGCTCAAGTTTCGACGGACAACGCTATCAACCGCTAAACCACCCGATGTTGCGCACCTGAACTCTTTCCCTCAAGGCGCCAGTTGAAAAGGCCCACTGTTCTCATTGGATACGGCGATATGGCCGTTAGTTCAACGACTAACGGTGCAATTTTTGCCCGTTTTGTGCATTCTCGGCCAGTTGCACAAACCTTGAACAATCTAATGCATAGCTGCAGCTCCACTAACCGCATTTGGATTGCCCACATGGACCTGCGCCTTCCTTTGAGTTACACGACACAAACTCGAAACCACACCATCACGGAAACATCTTCCCTCATACTTCAACCTCCAACCATTGCGAGGCACAAACAAACACTGACAAAACTACAGCGAGACAAGCCGAAAACCGCTGTCAATCCGTGGCTGAATCTGGAAGCACAAAGCATCAACCATCGCCACGAATAAGTTAAACCCACTACATCGCGGGCCGGTTCTTGAAGCTACCTAGGTACCATCGTGACTCGGTCACGAAAGCAACTTGGAAGCTCGGTCCTTTGAACAAGAAAAGTCTCTGATTTCATTGATACCTTGTTCCTGACCGCCGCAATGCACTACACATGTACAAATCACTCGTCTCGACTGCCTTTCTTGTCTGAAACCCCACTGCTTCTGACCATCTCCTGGATTTCATCAAACTGGACCCCCTGAACCACCACAACACACCCCTTATAACCCTCCACGCCATCTGCCATCTGCCAGGGGCACAGCTGCAGACGTTGCGACCGCTACGACCGCTGCACCCGCCTGCAACCAAGCCACCTCGCCCAATACCTTTAGATGAAATATGGAATGCGCTACCGTAATTGGGAGAAGCGGCTTATAATATTTGCTGGATCCTCAAGAGAGCTTTGTGTGCCATCTCGCAAACCGTTAGAGAATCATCACGCTTCATGCTTGACTGTTTCAGAAATTATGATGGATAAGGATGAATTTGTAAGTGAGGGCTTTATTGCATATACGTTTATTACTGATTAATCTTGTCAAAACCGGTGTCAACCTTACTTGCATATGGTGGCCGACCACTTTTGTGAAGGATATTCAGGAACAGCATAGTCGCCTACGTACCTCACCTTCCGCCATCCTAAAATGGACTTTATGCCGCAGACCTTGGCCAGGCTTGGCTTGGTCTCGAGACACCATCACAGTTTATCCGTTTTAACCACGGCAGTCACTCACACTGCATGAGGCGCTCGTTGAAAGGCCCAGCGGTAAATTTATCTCTTTGTTGGGATCGGTTTGCCAGTGAGAGACTTGTTCATTCGACCGCCAAGAGATAGTAGACCATGCCCATCGAAACTAGGCTCGCAACGATTGAGTTGATCGAAGCCGACCACAATCCACTTCAAGTGGATACTTCAGACGTTCATTTGCAAGTCAATGCACCCCCGCGGCGGCATGCAGCTTTTGTGGTGTTGATCTCGAAGTTTTCAGAAGTCCCAACTTGTGCAAACTTTGTGCACTTGCTGAGTTGTGGATCAGCTTCCATGGGAGGCCCGTCAGTAATACGGTCGTGCCCGTATCGGTCCACGTGTCTTACGAGGCTTGCTGCCACCGAAAATGCAACGAGTGTCCAGTCAGGACATGGCACGCAGAATATTCTTGGAAAGCGCCTAAACCTATATCAGAGAGTAATGGAGTGATGACACCTTCAAAGAGGGGCAAGAGCTCCTTTTTCACTACCACAGTAAACCAAACTACTATAGTACATGTAAGCACTTGAGGCTGCTGGAAGTCTGCCAGTCGGAGTCTACCTACTCGTGTCCCCATCTGAACAATTAAATTCGACACCGAGGCATACGAAGCAACTGCTATGGCCACAAAATCAGCAAGACAGCTGCATTTGGTTCATGTTCGTGCTGCCGACTTTTAGTGATATTGTCGATCGAGGTTATTGGGCTACGTTAACAAGACCGCGCCAAGTCTACCTATCCGACCAACAACCGGCGTCTCGGGATCCAGCCCTGCACAGCTTATTGCAATACTTGCATGGATGACTCGGAGTCGTCAGAATTGAGTCTACCTGCTGTGACACTTTGGCCAGTTGAGATACGGACCAACCATCTTTCCATTGCATGTAGGTGACAAACACCACATCTCCTTCCAACCTTCTCGGCCGAGTCGTCACAACAACAACGGGTCCGTCGTCGGGAGTTAAACGTTGCAAGCCTAAGTCAAGAATCGTTACCGCTCATCATCAACTCACAAATCTGAAGCTGACGAAGCGGCCTTGCAAGAGATCGAGATAGCTAAACTTCCGAATAAGAAGGGCAACTCGATCTTGTCGGAAAAGACGACCTCGAATTTGCCGATCTTCCGCTTGCTATTCGACCCACGGTGGCTTGTGTTAGTATAAAGCTTTATGCCGCAGTCAGGCACTGGGGCACGCACAATTCCTGTTTTGTACACACTTCCAATAAGGTTATCACTCAATCCCATCCAACCCTCCCATTTATGGTTGGCACATATGACTGGGTTCCTACATTAGTTATGGAACTTGCCCCTTTTGTCGATAACTACATTACTACAAACCCTTTTCTTGTTTTCTGATTGGTCAAATGTCACCCGTGGGTCATATCAACCTCCTTCATAAAAGGGCCACGAAGCAATTCGCAACTTAATTTGCCTCCATAGTTCCGAGATCGATACGTACTGAAGCACCAATGCACGAGATTGGTGATTAAGACCTGGCCAGGCAATGAGGCAGCAAGTCAAATAATAGCTCTTTTCCTGCAATTGAGTGTCATCCACCTGGGGAAAAGAAAGGACGATGAATTGATGCGCCTATGGCAAGGAACATGGGAGCGGGACCATTCGCCAGCCTAACATCTAATTTATCTGGGTATCAATGCCCCGGACAAGCTCCAGGGCTCTTTTGGCAAGGCAGATTCTGCTGTGTTGGCAGAAATTGCCCACGGCCCTCCTTGATCTATGTATTCTGAAAAGGGTCTCTTGCGTACTATCCTTTGAAGTTTCATGCGTCCCCTGTCGCGGGCGCCAAGAAATGGGTCAAACCGTTGCATTGCTATTGTCAAATTCACGATTGCTTCGAGGTAACGCCAAGTCAAATCCCTGTGGAGATTGATCATGATCTAGGGACGTGTGCATATTTATCTTGCAGCATTGTTGGCACCTATGTATAGCAAAATGGGCAAGGTTGACGATGCAACTTCAACGCTCGACGTTCTGATTTCATGCTCTGTTCCCAGCCAGAATATACAACATAACCCCTGAATGATTCTCAGTAGTCCATGTGTAACGCAGATAGTGTTAAACCGACCACAGGGCCAAAAACTAGGCGCGCCACTTAATTAGTGACCTTCTAGGTATTTCGGTATATCTCCGGTTCAACGGATAGGCAAGGGTCATTAGCTAATAGATTAGGTGGTCTTTTAGTTACTCCAGAATAATTAGGATGAATTAATACTTAAAAAATAAGTTAAATTAAGTAGAGATTAGCTAGAAATATATATAGCTTATTATACCATTAATACCTAATTAAATTGCTTTTTGCTTTAATAATAATTATTAATTTATAAGATATTAAGTAAGTTAATTAAAAAAGGTATTTTTTATTAAAAATAACTTCTTAAATAGCCTTAATAGCTTTAGCTAGCTTTTAATTTATTAATTTAAAAATAACTTTTTTATTAACTTAGAATTTTATTTATTATTATTTATATTTAATATATTTTAAATTAAGGCTATAAGGAGGCTAATAAACTTAAAAAGTATTAAGAAATATTTTTTTAAAAATTATTAAGGCTTAAATAAAATAATTAATAAACTTAATAAATTATTTATTTTTATATTTTTAACCTTATTAAAAGCTATTTAGCTTTTTAGCTTTTTTATTAATATTTTAAATAAAAAATTTTTTTTTTCCTTACTTTTAACCTTATAAGAGGCTATTTAGCTTTTTTATTAATAACTTAAATAAAGAGATATTTATAATAAGCTATTATAATAGAACTTAATATTAAATAAAGTTTATTTACTTAAATAGTATAATTATTACCTTAATTAAGTAATATAAATACTAACTATAAGTCTTTTAGTAGTTAAATTAACTGTTTTTTTTAACTTGTTTAAAAAATAACTTCTTAATTAACCTTTGTAATATATTTTATTTTATTTATTTATTATATTTTTAAAGTAAATTACTTAATTTAAGTCTTTATATTTATTAATTATTTTTATATTTATTAATTATCTTTATATTTATTAATTATCTTTATATTTATTAATTATCTTTATATTTATTAATTATCTTTATATTTATTAATTATCTTTAGTATTATATTACTTATTATTTATAATAGCTTATTTTCCCCCCCCTTACTTTTAGTATTATATAAAGCTATTAAGCTTTTTAGCTTTTTTATTAATAGCTTAAATAATAAAATCCTTATAATAGGCTATTATTATAAAAATTAAAATTAAATATAATTTATTTACCTTAATAATATAATTATTACTTTAATTAAATAATATAAATACTAGTTATATTTTTTCTTACCTTTAGTCTTATATAAGGCTATTAAGCCTTTTAACTTTTTTATTAATAATTTAAATAATAAGACCTTTATAATAGGCTATTATTATAGAAGTTAAAATTAGATACTGTTTATATACTTTAATAATATAATTACTGCCTTAATTAAGTAGTATTAATACTAGTTATAAGTATAATTTATTTATTATAAAGTATATTATTTAATTTAACTTTTCTTTTTAATACTTTTTATTAATAATATAATAGCTATACTGCCTTAATATTATAAAATAGCCTATAGCTATATAATTATACTTATTATATAACTAGCTATAATTTTAATCTAGCTATTAGGCTAACCTTAAAAGCAGCTAATAAAAAAGAACTTTATATAATATATATAATAATAATTATTATTATAAAGAACTTCTTATTAAAAGGCAGATTGTACTTTATTAAAATAGCTGTTTTTAATTATAACTTAATTTAATTATTTTAAATTAAGTTAATAATAAGCTATTAGGTTTTAAAAACCTAAAAATAGCCTTAAAAAAAGTTATTTTCTTTAATTAAATAAGGTAGCTTTCCTTATTGCCTTTATAAGCCTAAACTTAGCTATATATAAAAAGTAGTTCCTTAGTATATTTATAAGGGCAGCTAATATTACCAGAGAGCTACTCTTGAATTAGTAAGGGGAGTCTGTATATAGAGTTCTAGGATAAATATAAGGTAAAGGCAAGGTTTTATAAAAGAATTATATTAAGTTTTATATAAGTTAGTTAGTAAAAGTTAAATTAATTTTAATTAATTATATATATATATAGATCGTGGCCGGTCATGTAGTAGGCATGATTATATGGCTGCAGGCTATTTCGTACAGGCATCGAGACGGTATAGCTGTTATGCTGTTAGCAAGAAGGGTCAGAAGGTATTCGGGTCGGACAACGTACTTTGCGATGGATGAATCAGGTGTGGTATGTTATAAAGGTCGACTAAGGTGTAGTCCTTTAGATGGGTTGAAGGAAGAAGGTTGATCCAGCTGCTGAGATCTGGTATTAGTACTGCTTAGTTAAGGCAGCAATCGCGTTATTAAGGCAGATAAACCTTATCTAATTCTGACTTGTATAATAATAGCCTGCTATAGGGGTTTTACTATTTAAACTACTAATAGAAAAGCTAAAAAGCTTAATAGCCTTATATAAGGCTAAAGGTAAGGGAAAAATATATATATATAATAAGGTATATAATTAATTAACCTTATATATAAAAATAAATAAAGTAAAATTAATAAAAAAGTAATAATTTAAACTAGGAATTAAAAGACTTATATTTAGTATTTATATTACTTAATTAAAATAATAATTATATTATTAAGATAAATAAGTTTTATTTTATATTAACTTTTATTTAAGTTATTAATAAAAAAGCTAAAAAGCTAAATAGCTTTTTATAAAATAATTTTTTTTTAAATATTTATAGATTTTTTTAAAGATTTTTTAAAGATTTTATTAAATATTATTTTAAAATATTAAAATATTTATTAAAATTAAAATTTAATTAGTATATTTTATTTCAAGATAAATTTAATACTAATTAGGCTATAATACTAACTACTGTATTAGTTATATAAACCCCCAATTATCAAGGGAATTTAAGCTAGTATAGGGGGTCTTTAAGTAGTGTAGGGGGGGCTAGCTAGCAGGCCTACTAATAATCATTCAGGGGTTACATTGTAGGACTGTCCTAGCCGGTCGGGATTGTCGGCCATATGACCTACGCCTGATCTCGAGTCTGCGAGATTTACTATTAGTCGCTTTAACTTATAGATTGCTCACGACTGCCACGACATATCTCTCATGAATGCATTTGTACGTTGTCTGTTTACAGACCTGTCATGTCAATGTGAGGTTGTGTATCGGTAGGCCCTGCAGATGACTGGATAGCATTCCTTTGTCTTAGACATTGAGGCGTTCCTGGTCCCAGCGTGGCTTTCATTCCGAACCATCCGCCAAGACAGTTTTTGTTCATCGTCGGACGTTTTTCTCGTCTAGTGTTTTGGTGTTATGAGAATTGGCATAAATCGCTGTGTCGAGGCTATTGATGATTTGCCATCCCTTCACGCGTTGAGAATACATGGCGGTTATATCCGTAGTTTGACACAAATTCACATTCCCTACACAATCTCCATCAAGCCGCGTGTTGCTGACCGTTCTCTGGAATGCGGCCCGTTCATTACCTGTCTTATCCAACCTTGCGAATGGTCCCTTATTATCACAAGATTGAATGATCAATCACCAATGCTATTTTTGGAAGATTCAATCTTAAAGGATGAGCACCTATTGGTGGCCGCTTTTTATCTCCCTCAGTCATTTCGTGCCGCTACCTCCCATGCGATCCGGATATGGAGATTGAATTGATAGCTGCGCCGCTGGTGTTGCTTGGTATTGTATCGCATTATGTCACAAACGACGACAGCCAAGATTCAGTTTTCTACTTCCAAGGCTAGTCGGCCATCGCATGTCTTGATCCGAAACTTTTTCGGATCATCTTTTTCAAGACTTGATCATCTCTGGGGTTTGCCACCAATAATAACCCTCTTCCTATGCCTGACGTGCCATCTCCCTGTGGGTGGCGCTGAAAACAAGAAGTCTTTCATACCAGTTTGAGTGCCAGAGACATCGTATGCAGAATGTCTCATTGCCCTGTCAGTCATAGTGATAGCTAATAAGATTTTACGACATCGATATCATACAAGACTATTGGTACTGCGGATTCCAGTTTTCGATAGTCAGTTCTCTCTTGGTCTCGAAACTACCTTTTTGTAGCTGTATCAACTATACAGATAGATACCCACCTTGAAAAACGCCAAGTCAATTTCTTTCAACTACTCTCTCAACAAGGAGCTCATTGTTAACGAGTTCTGGTTTTGAGGGGACTTCGTTGGACTTAGCTTGGCCGGATGTCTGTCCTGTGGAATTGGAACTGTTCTGCGGCTTCGCAGGCCGAGCCTTTCTTCTGGGTAGTCTGCAGCATCCAAAGATCCTTGACAAGTGTTAGATCCATGTTTCTCGTCAAGTCATAAGGGACGATAGAGAAACCTTACGCGAAAAATATCAACAGCAACCCGCCAGAAAGCCCTGAGCCAACTCCAGCGCCTATCCTCTGCCGCGAGCTCAAATCTGCTTTTAGTTAATATGAGCTCGAAGAGGAAGCATCAAGTGATGACCGACCATATTCGGTACCGAGGCTAGGTCCACCGTCGCCAGCACCTGTAGTTGGTCCTGCGGCTGTATTCGTGAATACTGTCGTAAAATCTGGTCTTGTCGAAGGTTCAAGTATTGTAGTAAATGAACCATCAAAGGCCGTGTCCGTAACGACCGTGGCGGTTGTTCTTGCTGTGGCACAGAAATATCCTTCTGCCGAGAGCTGTGGCCATGTATAAGTTGCACATGCAGAAAGCGAACCATCGGTGCTGTATGCGCTTCAGCATCGCCCTCTGTTCCAGCATCGACAGACTCACCACTGTACAGTATGACTGTTTAGCGCTGTGCCCGATTCAATACAAGTCGTCTCGATTGCACAGCTCACATCACCGCAGCATCCGGCGTAGACTTTGTCGTGGCCAAATATGAACAGGAACCCGCATGTTTTAGACGTGCATGCGAGTGCAAGATCGGAATCTGTTTGCATTTAGTTATTGGCTAATGATGTACGCATATCATTGAGAAACCTACTGCCGTCGATGTATCCGCAGGTCGTGGAGGGTTCTATGCTACTGGTTTGCGATTTGACAATCGCAACAAGGCCGAAGCCGAAGTTGAAAAGAAGGATGTTTTTCAACATCTCAAGAGCCCTTCGTCTTTCGAGTGAGCTTCTGTAGACTCGAATCAGGTTCAGGTCAGTTGACGAGCTGACGAGAAACTGAGTTTTTCTACCGCCGCAACAAGCCCTGCAGCCTTATATGGAACATCAGTGTCTGCGACGAGGCTCGGCACTCGGTCCTCTTGCTTCAACCAAGTGACATGCATTGTCGAGGAATGATGGCCCTGGATGTATTTTCATTTGATCCTATTGGACATTGGTCGTGTCTAGAACACGCCGCCTTCAGCCGCAGCTGCGCAACCAGACTCACCCAAGGCTTATTGGGGCTTGGCGACATCTCAGATATGACCAGACTGAGTTCTGCTGGCAACGTCCAACCATTACATCTCAATTCTTGATGGTTTCCTTGCTAAAATCAACAGACAGCTGCCACCAGTCAACATGCAAGGCCTCAGTGTTAATTGCTCTGAATGGACAGAGCTGAATGATTTCAGCGGATATATTCAAGATCTCAGCTCCAAGACACGCTTCGACATTAGCTTGTTAGAGCCTTGTAAAAGCGAAATATGTAAAGCCATCTATGGCACAGGAAACCCTGACATATCTGGCATTGGAGTTCGTCTCGATGATTTTCCATACTAGATGCACTGTAGCTGATACACTATCACAGGTCGCTGTTGGTTACGTTCTTGAGATCACTTTGAGCATCTTTCTATCTCTTGCAGTCATCACTCTCAAGCGGAGTGGCAACAACAGTCAATGGTATCTGGTTGTAAGGACCGGTCTCGGAGTATTCTTCGATTCTGCTGCATACTTTGCCTTGTCACTACAGCTTGCTACCATTGCTGTGCTCGTCCGAAAAGATTATGGCATCAGCACCGCCGACTTGGGTGCTATCGAAGCTCGAATATCTCAAACCGTGGCCGTTGTCTGCATGATGCCACTTCTGTATCCTGTTGCTCTGTTAGAGCCAGTGGCGAGGACAGATTCGAGAGCCGATGTCAAGCACAACGCGAGGTTATTGCTACTTAGTTTGACCGTTGCGCTTTCGTTCTACCCCTTCTTGTCAAGGTGCATACATGCTTTTGATGTGAGTCCGATTGGCGAGGGTAAAGGCTCGGAGGTATCGCCAAATGCCTGGAAGGCTGTGGAAGAGATGTGCTTTCCTGGGCGGACGAAAACATACAAATCCTTAGATGGTCTCGAGTTGACCGCCTCTTTGATCACATACATGTTCACATTCTGGCTCCTCGCTGGCCTTCCTGGGATATGTCACGACTATGACAGGAAAGGAAAAGGCGCCCAAGTACCAGAAGAGAGAGCCTCTTGGCGTGGACGAGTCAACCAGTGGTTTAGTGACAGGCCACTCGCTGCCGTCATGCCTCTTTTTGTGGTTGTTGGCCTAGCTGTCCCGCTACTATGGTTGATCTTCACACTAAGGAGGGTTCAGGAAGAATTGACAGAAGACATGGAAGGAGAGTACGATGGAAATAATTGGGGCTTTGGGCAGATTGTGTCCATTGTATTGTTTGTCCCTGTTTGGGTCGAAATGGCATATTGGTGGAGGTTTGGGGCGGCATATGGACAGGATGACTGAACAACGTTTGGAAGACAGGTGCCTCTATTCTTTCTTAAAATCCGTGCCACGGAAATCTATTTATTTACCATGCCAGAACATCGTCAGCCTCCGGGCACTCCAAGATGGACCCCGGTGTGTTCTTGCGATCCCCTGCAACGACCATTTCAGAGCCCCAAGCCTCCCCGAGGGATGAAGCTGGCCAACTTGGGCCAAGACCTTACTCCCTGTTGCATTGTACCTGGTTGACGCCCTTAAGACACTGGGTTGCGAGGTTGGTGCCCTTGGAACCGGAACCGACAAATTGGCAAGAACTCCTGATATGTGTATTAGCTGACAGTATGTGGCAAAGACAAGACTCCTTAATCATAACATGGGATACATACCCGCTCAGGTAGCCCAAGGTACATCCACAACCGTTGCTGCTCTTTGCGGAAACGATGACTCCTTTAAGCCCATCTCCATTAATTTGGACCACCTTGCCAATCTTTTGGGAATCGTAGCACGAGCTATTGCAATTCCCCTTGAGGTTTCTCTGGTCGCAGACCCTGAGGTAGCAGCCACCATCACATTTAGCGGCAGCTAGGTCAGCCCCGAAGCTGAGGGAGACGAGAGCGGCTGCAAGCGCGGAGAACTTCATGGTGTTGTTTGATCTGAGGAATTGGAAGTATGAACTAGGGAGTGAGGTGCTTGATGAACCGAGTCAAATTCTGTGGTAACAGCACCTCTATTTATACCTGGAAGAGAACTCCTTGACCTCGTATTAAGTCGTAAGGTTCTCACTGACCGTGATTTCATATGATCATAACAGTACTAGTTGTTTCACGCACTACGACGGACATGCCTCCCCTGGGTTGACATGGCTCAACCAACAGACCGGCGGTCACAGAGTGGATTTGGTCAGTGACTCTCGAGACTCGACTCCCACACCCGGAAGCCCGGTATCCAGTTGATGTCCTAAGTCAAGGCTTGTTGTCAAGCCTATGTGGTTTACTATAGGTAGACGGAGAAGGAAGGTCGTGAGAATTGCCATACCGCGGTACCTGAGTCAAACTAAGCATGTGAGACATTTCTCAAAGGCCTCACGGCGCCAGATTAAGACGCTGTTCTATCAGGGTCCCACCGCTTCGTTGTGTCATGCCTCAAAAACTCCGTCTAGAGAAAGTGTGTTGGTTGAAGTCGTGAAGAAACAGCAGGGGTTGTATGGTATCGGTAGCTGTACCGAGCGTCCGGGCCACTCATTTTGTATCCATCTCAACATGTGATTGGTGCAACAGGGTTAGACCAACAACATGATTCCTAGCCTCACGATTTAGCTGGTGCGTTGGCAGCTGTTGGTTGAGACTTGAAGACACGGCTGACTGCGCGGGCCGGAAGTCGGCCTTCTCTGTGAGTAATAATAGTTAAGGACTGAACAATATGCCACGACATATATTACTAGTCAACAATAAGTATTCAACAGATTGGCTGTAGCTGCCTTTAAGAAGCCGGGAACTTATTGAAAGTACTGTGAAGTTAGATACTAAATAAGAAAGAGTTGTTGAGCCAATGACAATTAGTAAGTACATCTTAAATAGGCTAACATTCAACAACTCATACCCACTTCCGCTTCAAATGGTCCGAGAGTAACCCAGGCAAAGACAGATATACATACGGAGGGCATGAAAAGTTAAAACACACGGTGATTCTGATGTGCTGTTGGTCAGCGGTTCCAGAAAGTAGACAATACTTCCACAGCACCTGATGGTCAAGTTGCGTGACGCTTGTCTCAGACAACTGCGAACTGCGATAGGATCCATTAAGTAACAAATATCAATCAAAGCACTGCAAATAGAAATAAATTTACCTAAAGAGTTGAGCAGACTTCTGCCTTAGTATAGTAATCATTGTGGGTCTGGTTATCGAGTGCTAGAGCTAAGAAGGGAGTTACTAACGTCCGTCACCCACAGACCGGCCACCCCCACAGACTGGCCACCTCATTTTTTACCCAGCTACCTAAATTATATATACTTTAAATAGCTATAACTCTATTAATTTAATTCTAATTAATATTAAACTAATATTAATTAATTTAAAATACCTTCTTTTACTAAAAAAAAATATAAGTATTATATTCTAAATAATTATAAATAAAGTTTTAATAAATAAAGTAATAGAAGCTTATAATATTAATTATTTTACTTTATAAGGTTAAATTAAAAGAAATATAATATTAAAAGAAGCTTAAAAAATATAATAAAAGCTTTTTAATATTTAAGAAAGATACTTAAGAAATTAAATTCTTATTTAAGCTAATTTAAAATACCTTATATTATATTAGTAAATTAGGGAGTTTATTAGTAAGATTACTATTTATAATAGCTTTCTAAAAGGTATTAAAAAGAACTAGCTTTAGGACTTTTTAAGTTAAAATAAAGATATTAAGACTTTAAAAGGTAAGAAAATTAATTATAATTAATATTATAAAGCTTTTATTAAATTAATAAAGGTATTCTTTATATTATTAATAATATTAATAATATAAATAATTAAATAAAATAAAATATAATATTAATAAAGTTAAAATAATAATAAAAAATAAAAATAAATAATTTATTTCTTAATTATAAGTATAAAAAGTTAGTATTTATTTATTAGCTTAATTCTTATATTTAAATTATAATTCTTAAGTATATTTTAATAATTAAAAAAGTCTTAAAACCTATAATTATCTTTAAGGGGAAAATAATTTAATAATAATATTTTCTTAAGGATTTAGACTTCTTAAATAACTAGGAATTTATTTATAATAAGAAAAATTAAATAAGTAATAAATTAATATTAATTTAATTAAGAAAGGTCTTTATTTTATTAATAATATTTAAAAATAAAAATAAACTTTAACTTCTTATTCTTAATAGCTATAAAAGTTATATAATTAAGGAATTCCTTTAAGAATATTTTAATAATAATATATATTTATTATTTCTTTTTACTTATTTTTCTTATATTTTATAGCTATTAAATATTACTATCTTTAGCCTTTTAAAAAAAAAATATTATTAATTACTATTAGATTTTACTTTTATTATTAATAATAATTATATTAATAAGATTACCTTTTTATATACTTATAATAAGGCTTAGAAAGAAGCTATTATAAAGTTTAATATAATAGCTAGCTTTAAAGTTACTAAACTATAGCCTATTAATTTAATAAAGGTCTTAATAAACCTAATAGTTATAAAAATAGCTTTTCTTATTATAATAGCAAATTTACTAGCTAAAGAGCAGGATTCTAGTTTCTTAGACTTCTTAATTATTTATATAGCTTTAATAAGCTCTAGAGTATATCTTAGCTTTTATTATATAAGATTTAACTATTAAGCTATTATTTAAGAAGATTAAAAGTTAATTAAATTATTATAACTTTAAAATTAAAAAGTAAAATAAAAAAATAATTATTTTTTAAAAAGAAAATAAAAAAAAATTAACTAAAATAATATAAAAAGGTTATTTATAACCTAAATATTATGTTTATAAAGATTTTAATAATTAAAAAGGCTTATAAATAAATATAAAAGACTTTATAACTAAAAAGAATAATAAATAAGGTCTAGAAATTAAAACTTAAAGATCTTTATATTTAGTTTTATATAAATATTTATTAACTAAATTTTTATTTAATATAAAAAATATAATATTAAGATAATTAATTAAGTAATTATAATATCTAGTTCTTAGTGTTTTGGCTAAGGTAGCCAGTCTGTAGGGGTGGCCGGTCTGTGGGTAACGGACGTTAGTTGCCATCCTTAAACCATGCCACCTGCATACAGGCGAAAGGTCTAACGGAGTCATTTTACTCCAGCGCTATAAGACACTCTTTCTAAGGACGGTTGACAACACTCAATTCTACGGTCATCTAGGTCAAAAGCTATTGAACCGTTAATTGATTAATTGCCCTGTCTCTCTAGGGCCTTTCTAATACAGCCTAGCTAATCTCTAAAAGAGGGGTAAAATATTATATAACTCTTCTATTTTAAGAAAAGTAGCTCTTTTAATTAAAATACCTTATTAATTAGTATTTAATAATTTAATATATTTCTCTTAAAGTAATAAGATTTTATTACTTTAAGGCTATTATTAGTTTAATCTTTTTCCTTTATAAATTAAGATTTTATATTTCTTTTTTTTAAAAAGTAACTTTATTTAAGATTTTATAACTTTAATTAATTTATATTTTATTAATTTAATTATAAGTTTTCTTAATTAAATTTTTATTTTAAAGTTTTATATTATATTAATAATTTATAATAATATTATTAAGTAATAATAACTTTAATAAATTATAATAATTTAATTATATAATAATATAATTTATTATACTTAAGTAGTATTTTATTATATTTATTATTATTACTTTATCTTATAACCTAATTTAATTTATTACTAACTAGCTAAACTAGTCTTAATTTATTAACCTTTATAGTTTTTTTTCCTAAATACTAAAACCTTTATTTCTTAATTTAACTTCTTCCTCCTCTTTTCCCTCTTATTTCCCCTCCTTTATCCTGCAATTACCCTTATTTCTTATAATAAAACCTTTACACTCTTAATTTAACTAACTAGACCTTGCTTTTTAACTCTTTAAACTATATTAAGTATATAGTATTACTGCCAGCTAATATAATATTATTAATAAAGGCCTGCTGCTATAATAATATACCTATGCCCTTTTTTAACTAATTAGCTTAGCCTTTTAATACCTTCTTTTAATATTTAATAAATTTAATAAAGTAACTATCTTATATAATACCTTTAATTAGTATTTAATAACTAAAGATAGTAAGATTAACTTATTATATTAATTATAATTTATTAATATAAGGTAGGTATTTACTTATAATTTTATAATAAAAAAGGTTAAAATATAAGCTTTAAATCCTTATAATATAGATATTATTAATATTAGTTAATTAAGTAATTATATATCTATTAATTACCTTAATTAGATAATTATAGCTAGGTTAATTATTATTAATATAATTATATAGTAATATATCTTAAATAATAAGAGTTATGGTTTTAGGCTTATTTTTTTATAAAGCTTTATAGTTATTATAATAGTAATAATTATATTAAGAGGTTAATAATAAAAAGAGAATTTAGTTTATTATTAATAAGGGAAATATCTTCTTTATACTTATAAATTAAGGCTACTTATTTAGTTAAATCTTAAGGTTTAAGGCAGTAGTTATATAATTTATTAACTTAATATTATAGTTATTATGTTTTTTTTTATTTTTAATATAATATATAATACCTTTTATTATATTTATATTAAAAAAGAAAAATACTATTATTATATTACTTTATATATAGCTATAGTATTACTTTTCTTTTAATAATTTATTATTAAGTATTTTTTTTTTTTTTTTTTTAAGTTTATAAGTTAGCCTTAAAAGGTATATCTAAGTATTTCTAGAATTTAATATAGTTTAAATATTTATTACCCCTATAGCTAGTAAAGCTTTATTAAGTTAAATTATTATAGTTAGCTGCCTTAATTATAGCCTAAACCTAGCTGCATATATGCCAGCTAAAAAGCCTTACCTGCTTATTAGCTGGCCCTAACCTTCTTCCTATAACCTACCTAAAAGGTCTTTTATCAACCTCTGCTGCATACCACGCTTCAATTATCCATCACGCTTTAGTAAGTCATCTGACCTGACCCGACTTCTGGCCGCAACCGCTAACAGCATCACAGCTGCCCCGTCACGATGCCTGCTATCCAAAGAAGCCTGCAGGCACCTAGGCCTAATAAGCCTTATC